ACTAAACGGTCGAATAAGCAAATAAAAACTGTACAAACCTCAAATTGATCTCGAAACAACTTGAAAACAAGAGCCAAGTGTTACTGTGAGCGTAATTTAACAAATCTGAATGGAAGAAAATGAGCCTGGGTAAGAATAGCACGCTCAACGTCACGCTGCACACGAACGAGCTAAATGTGAGCGCTCAAGTCGCAATTAAAACAAGTAGGATAAAAATTGAAGCAGATAAACAAACAAAGTCAAACAAAGTAGGATCGATGTGCAAATATACAAGGGGAGTGGAACGTCAAATGTCCATATGTATATGAGGCGGATGATGTTTGGTGAATGGAACGTAAAATTCACGAAATGTGGAATCGAGATGGAATGACTGGGCTTTACAGGAAGGATTTTTACAGGCCGATCAATACATTGTCTTACATGAGGGTTTGAGAACTTGGGGTGCCTTGGAATCTGTTGTCCTGCATAACTGATAGATAGCCCTCTGTGCTTTGCTTGCTGTCATAACACGTTGAGCAGATGGTTTAAATGACTTGTGAATGTTCACGCTTAAGTCCCTTACTTCCGTAACCGTTTCTATGGTCTGGGGGTTTTCCTGGATGATGGTACCGAGTGCAGGTAGTCCCCCAGTCTGTAGTTGCTTTCACTTTCCAATATTTAGGGGTAAGCCCCAGGTCTCAGTCCACTGCTGGAGGGTATTTGGGTCAGCTTGTACAGTATCCTCCCGTGGGTTTCCGACTATCTTAGCGTCATCGGCGAATAGATAGCAGGGAGACTTAAGCCTGACAGTTAAGTCATTTATAAAAATGATGAAGAGTATCGGCCCCATAGTGAGCCCTGAAGTACTCCGCTGCACACACTCGCTAGGCGGGAGCACTCACCCTCCACTCTGACGTAAAATTTCCGATGCCTAAGGTAATCTCCTAGCCATCGCACCACTGTTGGTGACACGTTCAGAGCCCTAAGTTTGGTCAGCAGTAGGCGGTGGTTTACGGGGTCAAAGGCCTTCCGGAAATCCAAGTAGAAAATTTCTACTGCATCATTCCTGTCAACTCGTGCAGTCACATCATCGAGGTAGGACAGCAAGTTGCTGAGCCATGACTTACCACCAACAAACCCGTGTTGGGAGGGTTGTATGAGGTACTGCAAGACTAAGTGGTTTTCTATTGCTTTTCTTATGGATTTCTCCATAAATTTAAGCACCAACGGTTAGAGGCTTACGGGTCGATAATTCTCCACACTGTCCCGACTACCGCCTTTATGGATCGGTACCACCTCCGCCATTCGCCAGTCCTCAGGTATTTTGCCTGTTTCTAATGATCTGTTAAATAGGCTAGTGAGGTGAGGTACCGGAGAGTCAGCTAAAGAGGACTGTATTGCAGGATGGATCCCCTCCGGACCTGTAGCTTTTTGCTTATCAAGTCCCCTTAGAATCGCTGCTGTTTCTTCAGTGGATATGGTAGGATAGTTCATCTGCTCCATCTGCTGAGAGAGCATGGACTGTCCTAGGAGTGTACCGCCAACCTCCGTGTAAACGGTGTTAAAACAATCCAGTAGAGCTACGGCTTTCTGGTCAGGTGCAGTTGCATACTCTCCTGACCCAAGTACTACATTACTCACATTTACTCTCATGCTTCCTTTTGAATGAACATAGTTAAAGTAAGCTTTTGGGCATGAATTTGCGTTTGCTGCTAGAGCCAACTCATATCTCATTTTGTAACTCTTCTGGATGCTAATGGCTGTATCTCGAGCT